AGCTTTTTAAGTTTCAGTGGAGAGTGCTTCTTAACTCTCCCCATATTTTTACTGTCGATTTCTGTAGGGTCAAGAACCATAGGAGGTAGCAAGGAAACCCTCATTGGAAACGAGGAAGGTAATAGCAGTCAGTTTATAGCCAATAAATGTGCACTCTGGTAAAGGATGAAACTATGTGACCAAATCTTTCCATGCCATAATATTTTTCGTCAAATATTTTTGTTTATTTTACTGAAATTTTTTGTTATTTTTGGATCCCGTTAAAAAAAAAATTCACATTGCCATTTTCAAAAAAAATTTAGAAATATTTTGTGAAATGTGCTGCATGACTAAGAAACAAGTTGCATGCATAGTTGTTTCGGATTACTGTAAAACGAATTCAACAAGCTACATGCTAATTCATCAGATTTGTCTCACTGCGTTGAACTAGCAGAATATTAATGCATGGCGCGCTGGAAACCTTCCCAGTTAGCCGAAATGAAGGGAGGGAAAAAACATCGTCAGCAGGCGATTTTTTTTGTGCCAACAATCTCATTGTGAAAATATACTTTTTTTTTGCTGAATTAGTGAAAAATACAGTATAGCTAAAAATAATTTGTGAGCTCAAAAAAAATAAATAACTGTTGTACAGTACTGTAAAGGGGGTAATTATTCACTGGGTTTTAATTTTGCTTATTTCGCTGACTGGAAAATGCGCTAAATTAAAACCCAGTGAATATGTAAAATTTAGCATAGAACACATTATCTAAATGACGAAACTGTGCATTTATAACCCACTGAATATGCCTGAAATGGTAAATCAGTGAAATTTAAACCCAGTGAAAATTAGTCATTTTACAGTATATCCATTGCCACCAGGAAGTTTCCACATAAAACAGCCATGCACATCGCTGTGTATAATCAGATTCGGTCACATTGTTTCATGAATGAGCACTGAAAACAATCATGGCTTCAGTGAATAGTATTACTGGAAAAACCTTTCTGCACTTTGTAATGTAAAAAGTTTTGCACAGCTCCAACTTGTCACTTGTTGTCATTCTGAGTTGACTCTGTTGTACATTTCAGTGATCCTTACATGTGTGGCACTTAATTATTAACAAACTCTGGATAAATATTAATTTAATATTCATAAATGAGCAATACAATATTACTGCGTCATTATATTTGTAGCGTACAAGGGATATCATATCTTAATTTACATATTGCAATATCAAATTTGTCATTGCTCTCCGTTATCATTTTTCCCATCATCTGATGGATGCCATTCTGTATTTTATTTCTTACTTTGATTTGGAATCCACATTCACATATGTTGATGGTTGCATGGGACCGAGAGAAAGCGAGGGGGAGGGATAGATGGATGGAAGAAGGAATAGAGAGAGAAAAGGAAAAGGAGAAGGGAGGGAGATGCATGTACGGAGGAGAGGGAGACGGAAAGGAGATGGGGAGAAGCAGAAGGATGGAGAGAAGAGGGAAGAGAGAGAAAGAGTGATTAAAAGCTTAGAATTCCAGTTCAATAAAGAATAAAATCAAGTTGACCATGATCCTAAATCATAATTGACAAATATTTAATTGCTGTTGTTTAACCACTTTACTGTAAATGGGAACTTTTCAGTGTAATTCTTAACAGCAAGTCGTAGTCACTTTCATATTAACATTCTGTCACGATCTGAGGTAAATCATATACACTGTGTCACGTACACATGTACACGTAATAGGTAAATTGTGTCTAAGTATGACTATCATCGTCTAAATCTTGAAATAACGTAATTTGAAGGATATATTAAAAATGTGAAAAACTATTGTCGACTAAAATATTATTCAGATAAATCTTTTGACATATCCATGTTCGCTAATAACTTGATGAAGTCTCATCAGACTAATGCGTGTGCTATTACAATGGATCGTGTAGGTGTACCTAAATCACCTGTTATTATCGCAACCAGAATTAATGAAATTTCATTGAAATTTAATGCCCTATAGATAACATTGGTATTGATAAGCAGACTGACTCATTCATGATGTGTTTTCCCCCATTATTGGTTTGGATTGTTTTTCCTTCTTGCGTCATACTCTAAAGGTCTCACATCCTAGCATTTTCCAGGGGGTATCATTGTACTATCAGACTTCGCAAGTTAAAAGTGTGCTTTTTATTGTCAGATTTTAGAAGAAAAACAAATTGGGGGGAAATAAAAATAAAAGCACAATTTTATGACAATCTTAAAATAAAAAAAAATCACACATGAATTTTGGAAAACGGTCCAACTGACTCTAACTTCATTAATTTCTAATTTTCATTTTAACCTTTTTAAAACCAGACGACTTGCTCAAATTGTTCTGTACTTTTTACTTATATTCTTCAATATTTATGGAAATAAATTTGAGTCAATTTTCGAAGGAAAGTGTAGACTATAAACCAAATTATTTTGTGAATTTGTGATGAAAAGAGGGACTGGTGGTGAAAAGGTTAAACATTTCTGTGCTTTATTGGCCATTCCTTACATTATTGGGATAGAAAAATAATCACGAAATTTTCATTAATAGTAAATTTTTTTCCTCCTTCCCTATCAAAAAAATCATTACACATTTAAAAAAATAACAATGTTGAATTTTTTTTTCGCATATGAATGGAGAACAGCTTACTATTGTGGAAAAATATGATGCCATGTCTAATAGTAGGTACAGTATCTGACAAAAAATAAAATTATTAATTTACAATCTAAATTACATTTATGGTTCCCATCTAAGCCCTGTAAAAGAGACGATAACCTTATTTCTTAGAAATTAGATCATTTTAACTCTGCTGTTGAAAAAGTAAAATGTTGCTATGACGATATGCATGTACGATTGGTAAATATGTCTTTATTTCCCATATGACATAAAATCTGATCACTTTATACAACTCTTGTTCACATTTTCTAAATCGTTGACTGAAGTTATGACTGTCATTGCGAACTGTCAAACTCATTTCGATAAAAGTTTCAATAAAATTTACTTAATATATCATGGAAGTATGCAAATTAAATTTGCAGGAAAACAAATACTGCAAATTTCATAAAACTTGTAGCAGGGAAAAAAAAAAACATTGTTCAAATTTATCTCCTGGAAAAAAATCTTGTTTTAAAATTTGGAAGAATTTGCCGAACAAAAAACAATTCTGTCCATCTGGTTTAAACTGATTGAAAAAATTGTAGACAAATACATAAAAACACGCAAAATAATGACAGAGAATATTATGACAAAGTATGTATTAAATTTCTGAAAATTCAATGATTTACTGTTTTTGCTGTGACTAAGTTATGAGCAAAACCATAAAAGGGCGACAATAAATGGTACAGTTACATTACTCCTACTCCCTTCCCCTAGGCTTTAATGGGATAGATGTGAAGAGTAGTTAAGAACTATTGTGACAAAGCAATTACAAAAAGTTCACTGCTCGTGCTAATAAAATATCCATGTGAAATACAGACAGGTAATTTTCTTTTTCTTGTCAAATTTATTTCATTAACTTTATTTGACATTGAAAATTTAAATTCAATTTGTGACTGTGAATGAAGCTTTGTATATTAGATTGTAGTTTGATTGGTGAATGACAGTCTGTCATCTGTCCAGGCTAGTTTTAATTAATGACTGCATGAAGGCTTACAACAGATTATATGTGTAGGTCCTCCGTGAAATCTTTGTGTGTTATTCAGTTACCTGTCAATAATAGAAAGAGTTAATTATTTGGGATTGGTTGGTGAAGATGGGAGAAAAGGCTGTAGTAGGTCGCCTAGGAACGAGAGCGAGGTAGAGGTAAGGGTAGTGAGAGTGGTGGGATTGGATGGAAGATCTGCACAAGAAATAATCAGTGTGATGGGTTGGGTGTACTTAGGATGAAAGAGGAGGTAGGTTGGGTAGGGATGAAGTCCTTGGCTACAAGTAAAAGACAGAAAGGTAAGGGGTTAGGTAGGCTAGAGATAATAGAGTAGGGTGTGACATGGTTTGGGTAAGGATGGAAGGTAGGAGAGAGAAGGGTGTGATGGTTTTGATAGGGATGGCTAGACCCTGGATAGAGGTATAAAAGAAGGGTTGGTGGGTTGGGTAGGGATGGAAGATTATGGTTAGAGGTAAGAGAGAATGGTGTAATAGGTTGGGTAGGAATGGAAGATCAAGAGATAAAAGTTCAGGATGGTTTGGTAGGGTTGGATCTAATGGATTAGCTGGAGGTAAGAGAGAAGGATGTGATGGGTTAGGTA